CCATCCTCCAGCTGCTCCAGCGCCAAGCCGCCCTGGGGCCACCCGCCTACAGCACCGTCTCCTCGCCACAGCTGCCGAATGCCACGCCGTCCTCGGGGGACCACCCCTTGGCCTTCCCGCCCGTCCTGGCGCAGGTGCTCTGCCCTCGGACACAGGTGAGTGTCCTCCGTCGAAAGAGAGACAACCATGCGGATGCGCGATCGTCGTCTGGCACTCCAGGACTGGACCGAAACTCCCTCCCCACCCGGAGGGATGTGACTCGGTCAGACGAACCGAGCTGCATGCGGCCCGTTTGCGGGTGCGGCTCCTCCCCTCCTTTTCAAGGGGGGCGGGGCGTCGACCCCTTCCCCCATCTCCCCCACTAATCTTTCTCTCCTCCCCTCCTCCTCAGGTGCCTCCTTTCCCGCCGCCCCAACCTGACACCACCACGCCCGGCAAGGAGGTGGTCTTGCTGGTGGAGTTACCCTGCGCGGCCCCTCGGCGCCTCTCGCTCCCGGGACAGCTGACCCACGCGGGCCGCCCGGATTTGCCTCCTCCCGACTTGCACAGACATGGCTCGGACCCCGGCAGTTAATGGACTCGGGGACGGAGCCATCCCCCCACCCGGCCCGGAAGAGGGTTCTCTCGGCCAACGGAAGAAACCGACGGTGGACGAGAAATGGGGCGGGCGAACCAGCCCGGCCCGGCGCAGGCCAGCCGTTCTCCCGCAACGACGTTAGCTGGTCTAACCAAGACAAGGAGAGGACTCCCGGCGTCGTGCGGGACAAGAGGACGATGCGCACGGAGCTGAACGGGACGCCGACGGCGAGGAGCCCGGCGGCCTTTCGGGACCCTGAAATGGTCGGGTTGGCCCGCCCTTGACTGGTTCCGGGGCTCCGGGCCACCCCGAGCTGGAACCCCCGACGAGGGCCTACGTGACGCCTCCCCGTCTCCTTCCGGTGTCCAATCCCTTTCTTTCTTGAAAGACCTTTTCCCCCCCCTCCCCTCCAGGACTTCCATAATCCCCTTCCCACACACACCCACCGTGCTTCACCAAAGCGATTTCTCGGCAAATTCCGTCTCAGCAATAATTCCAACGCCGTTGAGTCCTCGGTGGGGGGGATCGTCCAGGATCGGAGAGCCGACGGGGGAAAATCGTCCAGGATCGGAGAGCCGACGGGGGGGAATCGTCCGTAATCGGAGAGCCGACGGGGGGAAATCGTCCAGGATCGGAGAGCCGCCAAATCGTCCAGGATCGGAGAGCCGAGACGAGCCGCGGCGGCCCGTTGGGATGGTGGGCGGGCAGATGTGGGTTATTTACTGCTGGATCCCTTCCACACACACCCCGCTTTCCCCCCCATAGGATCCGGGCTATGCTCACCGCGGCCTCCCCCGTCGCCCGCTCCCATCCACAGCCAGGGCATCGCTCCCCGTCTTTATAACAGGACGGCGTGCGCTCACCTCAGCGACGTCGAAACGTTCCCGCTGACGGGGAAAAGGGGGGCGTAAGGGAGGCACGGCGGAGAATCCCCCCCCATTTTCGCTCCTTCTTGTGTCCAATCGGTGGGTGCAACCCCCGCTCCCTGTCCCTCCGCAGCTCTCGGTTGTCGATCCTTCTCCGCTCGCTTAGTGGCGGGAGGAGAGGTTGCATCCCGGAGGGGGCGCCGTCCCCGTAGAGGTCTCCAGACACACGCCCCCTGACTCCCGCAGCTTGACCCGCACGCCTGAACGACACACGCGACACACATTCTTCCTCCTCCTCCTCCTGCCCGCGCGCATGCTGTCCTCAGGAGTAGCAACCGATGCCCAATAAAAACTCGGCATGGATCCCCCTCCCCACCAATCGGGTCTCTTTTGTCGGAGGTGGGGGGGAGGGTTGTGTGGGGTTGCAAAAGTTGGCTGGACAAAAAAGAAGAGTTGGGTAGTCCTTGCTGTACGACCGCAACCGTAAAACTCGTCACTAAACGAGACGCAGCTTCGGCGGATGTGGGGCCCCGGTTTTTTTTTTTTTGTTTTTTTTTCGACCCGGCCTTCCTGCCGGTGGCAAAAAAAAAAAAAAGAATCCCCACCGTTCTTAAAACGAGTCGCCCGGTCGTGAAATGAGTCCAACTTTCCCCCCTTGAGAGAGGGCGAGAACGAGGAATCCGCGTCCTCTCCTCCCGGACGCTGCAACCGTCGTAAAGAGGAGTCGGCGTTTGCCCCAAGGGCCTGAAATGGGATGGTGCAGTGCCCCCCCCCCC